TATCACCGTCGTCCTTCCGATAGGGGAACTGGATCGTAGAATTGACTGTTGACAACAAATTCAGGTTGGGGAGTCGATACTCCAAATATCTTTTTGAATGAAATAGGTCAAAGACCTTCCTCTCTCTCAACAGTACCAACAACAGTCGTCACTCTTCACTCGTGACAAAAATAATAAAATGGTTGTATTTATAGTTTGACAATCCATGAATAATAATTATTAATAATCACTAATAATCGATAATTAATCATCAGGAATCTTGAAGATTCCACAGTATCTATGGTCACACTGACCAAGCCGACGGTCGCCCTTTGAACAAGTTGATGTAGGGCAGTCTACCAGACTCTCTCCCCACCACCCCCAAGTCAAAAAGGGGAGGAGTCTGGCTACGCGAGACTAATGAATAATTATGAGAATAGAGACTTCTTTGTGATTTTTTGGCTAAATACCCTGTACTAAAGTACTGGGACAAGAGCCTGAGGATGCATGAGGACTATGCCAATATCCTGTGGAAAACCGTCATAAAATGGCAGATCAAATTAAGCAATAGTCAGGCACAATGTCTAAACACTGCTTGAGTGTAATTCAGGCTCCGCATGCACACGTTACAAAATGAAAAAATCAAAAACAAACAAAACCATAACTTGACACACTTCAAAAAATCTAAAAAAAGAAAAACTAATCTCACCTTTAGCCTGTACATCTGCAGGAATCTTACTCACATCCAGTATAAACCTCTTTAGCTGATAATTGCTTGCGTCATAGAACTACTTACGGTAGAGGGCGTGGTTACACGAGAAATAATTTCGAAAAATTTTAAAGCAGCCATTTTGGACGGCAACATGGCTAGTAGATATCAGATAAAGATAGATCTCCTGTTTAATAATTCGTCTTTATCTCCTTTGGATCCTCTTCAGGTTCCAGATATAGATTGGATTGATGACCCTAGGAAATGGCCTAAACTAGAATTTGGCCAAATGTATCTATACTTGATAGAACTTCACCTCAGTGGCCAATTCACTAAAGAGAAGCTCAAAGCATACAAAAGTCTTCAGGCATACAATTATTATATAAGGTTTGTTTGTTTTATAGTGTATTATGAACATTTTATATTAAAATTAAAAATATAGTGGATGGGTGCAGACTGTCTTCTTGTTCTTTATTCCTGGAACTGACAAATGCATACTGAAGGCCAAAGTAAAGCCATCTCAAAGAATGAACGACCATCCTCACATAGCTTGGGTTGGTCTGCAGCTGAATGGAGACATCATAAATGCTCATTGCTCTTGTATGGCTGGGTGAGTGACTACTGTTTACATATCTAACATTAAAGAATTCATCTATAAGAGGGTGTCTTGAAATAGTTGATTTAAAAAGAGGTTTTAACTGATTGAAGAGGCATAAAAATAGTTTGTATGTTGGAAGTCCTGTGTAGAAATTTGTTTTATTGTCATTGTCCTTAATGCTGCTTGCCCCAAATGAATGGCGTTCCAACTTGAAATGTAAAATCTCATTGTTTGCTTTTAATGCTAAGATAGAACGACTATTACTGAAGTTCAGCCATTGTGCTTGACTATTGGATGACTTTAGCATTGCATTTTCCTGTGTGAGTAAAGATATCTTCTCCTGCATTGACACATGTTTCCTCTCATATCTTGTAATGGTCTCCTTTAGTTGCTCAATTTCAAGTTGATACTCTCCTATTTCAATCTCTTTCGACTCCAATTCTAAGTCAATTTCATGTATCCTTCCCGTATAAGTAGCCTCTTGACTGCTTTCTTCATCAATACTTTGTTCCTCTCGATCACCACTGTTGACCAATGTAAAATCGCTTTCTTCCAGATAGTTATCAGTGTCACAATCAAGTTCTTCCTCACTTAGATTCAAATTTTCAAATTCGTCGTCATACTTATAATCTTCAGATTCATCCACACTCACTTCTTCAAAGTTGCTGGCAGTAAAGTTATTGCTTATATATTCAGTGTTGATCAAATCTCCCCATTCACATTCAGCATTAATCATTTCTCCATGTTCATTGTTGAGCATATATACATGTTTGTCATCCATCATATCTTCAAATTCATACACATCGTCAACCGTATCTCCATTATCATATTCATCATCGATCATCTCTCCATCATCATATTCAGTATCGATCAGATCTCCCCATTCACATTCAGCGTTGATCATTTTGCCATGTTCATTGTTGAGCATATGCACATGTTCGTCATCGATCATCTCTCCATATGCATACATATCGTCATATTCATATTCGTCGTATTCATCATCATATTCAAGTATCTCTCCATTATCATATTCATCGTCATTAGCATCATCATGACTGTCAAGAACCTCATCACAATTACCAGTATCTGTGGCACTTTCCTTATCAGAAACTCTAGATACCCTTTTCCTACAGAAAACAATATGTAAAAGATTCATACGACCAATCCCTCACTTGTCAATTTTTCTAGTTAAAATACGATGATAAAAAAATTGTTCTTTGCGTCTAGATATGTTTCTTTTATAGCGGAGTAGCTGCCCAGCTCCTTTTACTGGATTATTAAAAACAAACAAAGTAGGAATATAATCTGGATGACTAGGGTCTTTAGAGTGTTTCCCTACAAAAGCAAAATATGATATCCATGGCTGGCTCAGCCTGTATGTATGTATAATACCTGTGATAAAGTGAGCACTGCAGAGCCTTGAATACTCAGAAGGGACCCAGTTTTTCCTTTTAATAGCTGCAATCCACTTATTTCGTCTCTCTTTGTCCATTGGAAATCTAAAAAACCTAATTCCAGCTTTTCCTTGGCGATTAGTACATCCAAATGCACAGCAGTGAAACACCATGTTGCCGTCCAAAATGGCGGCATCTAACCACACCCCTAATTACCCCGCCCATGCCGTATGTATTCTTATATGTAAGCAATTATCACTTGAGGAGGTCTATAAGAATTCCATTACAATTAATACAGTTAGCCTCTTCAGTAATTTCTATACCACTAGGTCTTCTTCTACAATGTATAAACATGTCACAGCATTTTATAAACAATGATACGTACCACAAAATTTCTAGGATGAGTTTTAGCTTTAAAACTTTAGATTCTGAGTAGTATTTGCTGGACAGAAACTCCGCCATTTTTAATTTCTGCACTTTACACCATGCCTACATAACATCATAAAATTAACTCTTTGTTTACTCAATTTAAATTCAGCTTTTTTGGAGGACGAGACTAGTCTGGCGGTGCCAGACTCCACCCCTTTCTGACATTTAGACGGCGGGGTAGGAGTCTGGTTCCATTCCATTCCTCAACTCGTGCAGCTTAATTATAGTGACGTAATAATTATAGTGTAGTGACGTAATAATTGATTGGTTATAATGCTAAATAATTTGACCACGCCCGAACCATGCGGGCGGGCCTGCATGCAACTGTTGTTAACTTGTTGTGTTGTAGCTAGCTGCTATGGCTTGTATAATCTGTGCTAAGGCAACTGTACCTCAGAGAAGAGCAATACTGCAGTCCAAGTGTAATTCCCAGCTGATTCCTGCACTTTCTTATTTAATCGAAAAGGTTCTTCAGACGGAAGAAAGTCCTACAGTAGTAGATGTACACAATCTTCTCGTATCAGACAAGGCTGGAACACTTACTTACCTCTGTTCTAAATGCTGCACTAAGCTATCTCATTTTAGTGATGTAGAAAAGAAGCTCATTGATTCCCTGAAGGAAGGAAACATTACCAATAGAATTGCTGGTTTGGTGGCACACACTAGTCAGGCTCAATCTGCTCAGAATGATCAGCCTGGGTCCCAGCCTGCTAAACGAAATCTAGAAGAACAGCACACACCAACATCAAAGAAACAGAAAAGAGCTGCTCCATTATCAGTAAGAGTTAAATTTTCCTTGGTATAGTATCAAATTCATTCTCACCACTTAATTTTATTAGGTTGTCGTTGGATACAAGTCCCAACCAAGAACCCATGTTCCTACTCCTAGACGTGGTAAAATTGTTCATTTGGTTGTAAGAGGCACACCATCATCTGTTGCTAAGCAGATACTAAAGCACCCTAATTACTCTTCGAAAATGGTCGAAGAAATTTGGAAGATGATTAAGAAGGAGCTGACCACTTTATGTTCTGATAACGCCAATTCAATGCTTCTAAGGTCCAGTAATAAATCTGATCTAATGCAATTTACATGGGATCAATTCTTATCTGAAGTTGGTGTTTATGCTCCTTCTCTTTTGAAAATTCTTTCTTTGGCTCTGCACAAAAATCAATCTTTAACAAGCAGTTGTTTCCCTGTTTTGGGAATGGTGATGTCCATGCTGTGTTGCTTCAGAAGGAGGAATATGAATATTGTTCAAAAAATCATTTCCTTAATTTTATATTCTGGACATTGCTCAAAGCAGGTTTGTTAGTTGTCATTGACCCCAATTTCATTACAGCAAATATTCTGTAGGTTTATAATCACTTAAATTATTTGTCTGTCAGTGTTTCATAT